CAGGTTGTAAAGCCTCCAGGGGTTTTCGGTTTGCTTTGGGGCTCTCCTTCAGGGTTTAGGGGTTTAGAGTTCAGGGTTTAGAGTACATGGTAGGGAGAACCGACAGGATCGCTGCTTGGAGTTCGACGACCTCTACGTCTGGGAAGCCGGGCAGATCAACCAAAAGGACTGGTGGGAGCCCTTGCCGGATCATCTCCGCCACTGGGCATCAGATGAGCTTTTTAGGGCTTTTAGGGTTTAGGGTTTAGGGGCTTTTTAGGGTTCTTGGTATATGGTTTAGGGGCTTTTTAGGGCTTCTTGGTGTAGGGTTTAGGGTTGATTCAGGGTTTAGGGCATCGACCACGAAGACAAGATGTGTAGCTTTTAGGGCTCTGGGTATGTAGGATTTAGGGGGTTTGCACGGGAAAGGGTGTTGCCCTAAACCCTAAGCCCTCAACCCTGAACCCTAAATTTTGAACCCTATACCTTAAACCCCAAACCCTAGACTTTAAACCTTAGCTTTTGCTTTCTGCAGCGCCTCAAAATCCACTTTCAACCTTGAGTCCTGAAGCACCACACGCACGCGAGGAGAAGCTGTCAAGTCTTTCGGTGTGTTGGGCTTTAAGCCTACTATACTTAAAGGTTCATGGGACTTAGTAACCACGGGTATAAATAAGGTCGCTATACTTATAATTACTTATAACCCCAAGAAAGGTACTTAGAACTGGACTGTACTTACTAAGTCCCATGGGCCTCCAAGTAGGCGTACGGTTTAGGGTTTCGGGTTTCGGGATGGACCAGGCAGAAGCCTAAGGACCGAGACATTATGCAAGGACCGGGGCCTCCCCAAGTCTCCATCCTTGAAGGCAAAGCATACCTGAAGGGTTTAGGGTTTAGGGTTTAGGGTTTAGGGTTTAGGGTTTAGGGTTAAACCCTAAACCCTAAACCCTAAACCCCTAAACCCCTAAACCTTAGCCCCCCAAAGCCCAAAGCTTCTCCCCAGAAGGCCCATGGCCCTCTTGGGAGCCGGCAGCCTTTTATTAAGGTGAAGGTTCAATTTATGGTTTAGGGCTTCGCACGTAGGGATACATGGATGGACCTACCGTCGGGTTTAGACCTTAGGGTGTTTATAAAGGTAGAGTATGCAGGGCTGTTGGGGTTTAGGCTTTTTGTGGCGGTTTCGAGGTTGTGGTTTCAAGAGCCAAGACCTGGCCCCCGAAAACTTCAACTTGAGAGCACCGCCCAGGCGCCCGGACACGTTTCTACAACGTGGCTGTCAATGAGACACACTGTGCATTAACGGCAACTGGTATTTTTGCAGAAAGGGGTAGCTTTCTGCACATGCTTCCTTACGCCGCCAAGCCGGACGATTACGTGGTCGTGAAGCGGCTCGGTCGCAGCCACCGTAGGATCAACCCCCGGAAACATAGTAGTAGAGGCCTTGCAGTAGACCTTACATTGTGTCCTAAACCCTAAACCCTAAACCCTAAACCCTAAACCCAAGCAGCAGGCCAGACTTTGTTTCAGCCGCCTCCCACCCGCACCTGGCCACACAACACAGTCGCATGAGCCACAGCAAGATACCACTCCTCCTACTATTCCTCCTACCACTCCTACCCCTCCTCCTCCTACTACTACTTCTACTACTACTACTACTACTACTGCTACTACTACTACTACTGCTACTACTACTACTACTACTACTACTACTACTACTCCTACTACTCTACTGCTCCTACCACCTCTACTCCTAATCCGGGTCCTAATCCTGCTCCTCCTCCTCTCCTACCACCACCGCGACGACGACGACTACTGAGGTGACTACTGCTACTACTATTGCTCCGACTGCCACCCTCACTGCTACTTCTACTGCCACCGCCACTGCTACTGCTACTGCTGCTTGTGCTACCGCTACTAGTACCACCACCACTAATACTAGCAATATTCCCGGGGCTACTTGCCAGTACCAGCGCCGTACTGGTGCTGGTAGCAGCAGTGGTGGCACCAATACTTCCGGCAACCCTAAACCCTAAAACCCTAAAGCCCTAAAGCCCTAAAGCCCTGAAGCCCTGAAGCCATAAACCCTGAACCCTACACCCTAAAACCCTGAAAACCCTGAAAACCTTCTAAAGCCCTAAACCCAAAGTACAGTGGGGCATGGCAGAGGTTGGATGTCCGAAGTGGACCGGAGCTCTCGATCATGGAGGCTCTGGCGCGCCACCCGGAGCTCAGCTCCCTCGTCGATGAAGTCTTCCTGGAGTACCGTTTCGACTTCGACGGCAAGAACATGGACTCTTGTCTTAGGGATTTTGGGTTTAGGGTTTAGGGTTTCCGGGTTTGGGGTTTAGAGTTCGCAAAAACCATGGTTTGTTTTCTGACAGCGTGGGGGTTGAAGTGCAGAGTCTTCGAGACGGCGACCGGACTCATGTGCAGTTGTGCTAAAGTTTGAGCCACATTCGTACTTTCGCAGCACTTCCACCGTCAACATAGATGCTTCTGTCCCACGCGCTATACCCTACATTCATACAGTAACCTTAATGTAGGGGCTTAAATGATTACCTATACTATTTTGGGGGTTCCTTATTACAATTATAGCCCCAAAGCCCTATTCTAATCATTAAGGCCCCTATATTAGGGTGGGGACCTTCGACACTGCGCCCAGGATTGGGGTCCTTTGGTGGACCAGGACCGGAATGTGGACACGGCACTGGATTTAATGAAACGGCTGCGGCTGGCAGGTATTCGATCCCACTTTTGGATGTTCTCGCCCATGGGCTGAGTCACCTGAGCACGGGCCCACAAAGCTCAATCGAAAGCTGTTCTGTCGCAAGCTAGCATACCCTACTACAGTCACATCCGATGACGTGGCTAAGAATTCAGGATGTTCGAGTGTGGGGCCAAAGCATACTGCCCCAGCACTCGCTTCCAGCTGGATTCGCAGAAAGGGAAAGCTTCCTGCACCCGCTTGCTTGGATTAATATAGGAATCCCTGAAAAGTGACCAGTGATCTATCTTAATATGTCCTCATAGTCACAATACAGGCCCGCTTTTAATGTACCAGCCCCAGGCATTAGGCTTATGTTTACGGCCAACAGAAAATTACATACACTACCCAGAATACCCTGTAATCATGCTATGAAACCCCTACACAAATCTGATTTTGAAAGAGGTGCCCCAGGTTAGTGGCGGCTTGGAATACAAACCATACTTGAGAGCCCGGTTTGGAGCAGAGAGGGCTCAGGGGCATGGGCGTACATCAGGCGTTTTGGTAGGGTGGCGTGGGGTATTTGGAGGGTTCATAGGTTCTTATGAGTTTTATTCTAGCGGTCACCCTCCCATTTTCTCAAGCTCTTCACATACTTTGCCGGAATCGTTCTTTCTGTCTGTGGGTGAAGAGAACGATAATTTTGAAGAGTGTGAATGTTTGAAGAGAAAGGGGGCCAGCCAAAACCCTCTTTATGTTCGGCAGTTGCCCATTCTCTTCATGCTGTCACATACTTGCACGGTATCGTTCTTTCTGCTTGTGGGCGAAGAGAACGATAATTTTCATGAGGGGGTATGTGTGAAGAGAATGGAAACCCGGGACATAGATTTATGGGTTTTGAGATGTTTTATTGGGCTGTATGCTGCCTCAGAGGTTCTATACGGATTATTTATAGGGTTTTAAGGACTTCTTTATCGGATGAATGTACAGGCTTGGATACTGAGCAATAGCGGTTTACAGATTCCCTTAAGCATAGTCTGACCATATAAATTCAGGCATCTGCAGTATGGCACGGCAGCAGAAAGCACAGTGTAAGACTTAGAGTAGATCGTCGCATGGGAGACCGCTTAAACAGAATGAAGATCAACACGAACCAATGTGGATGATGTGCCACACAAGAGGGTTTCAAGAAAGCAAACGATCCAAGCACAACTGCACGAGTAGTTCAGTCTGACAGTCTGTAAGAGCAGAAGCCACAGAAAACAGAATCACGGGCGAGCACTCGCCTAGCAATGCTTGCAGTGCTGAAGAGCTCGTCGAAACTAAAGCCTTAGCACCCATCAATTGCAGACACACTTGGAAATCTGAAGCCCAATAAATAGCAGTGCCACTTCAGCCAAACACCCTATCTCTACCTCGACCCTTGATCCCAAATCCCTCACCCTCAGCTCACAATAGTACTGTTGATGGACAAAATTCTGCATGACCCAACTATAGTATAGTACCATAAATCCCATAGTTTAGGTATATAAGGTCATGCAGGATTTTGTCCATCAACCGTAACTCCTAAGCCCTGACCCCGAAAGCCTAAACGGTCCCTTGCGCAGAAACGTAGTGCAACCCGAGAAGGATGTTGGCAGCATTGTCCATGCTGAAAAGTCACTTCTTCGAACATGGATTATGCTTTGCTTGGTTTTTGCTTGAAGTTGCCACAAAACGGAAAGCATGTTACATATTTATTGTCTCAGATTTTAGCTAAAGCTTCAGAGAGCAAGGAGCATACAACCAAAACCGTAAGACTCCGTAAGCGGTGTGGTTTGCTAGGTCACGAGCTAGCACAACTCCATACAAAATGTGACGACTGGTAGATCTACCGGTCAACACTAAATTGAGGGGTTGTTTTGCAGGGTTTTGGCGTTTAGAGCCCTTCAGGGTAACCCTCATGGAATTGCATAACGAAACTCGAGCTGCAAGCTGGGTGGGGTCCAAATCCATCCCAAACATACAGGCTGGAATAGAGGCCTCCTTCATTAGTAGCAATAGAACTGCCTACATGTTGCAGTGCGTACATGTTGCAGAGTTCAGTTCAGGCACAGGAGCCCGGGAGGTGTTGGAGCTGTTGGACTGTTTGAGGCATTTTCGCCTTCAAGACTCCGAAAAAGCCTTTGCAAAACTTTCTCTAAACCTCTGTTCCAATTCCGGCAAAAGTTGCAAAACGGAAAGCGTTGCGAACGGTCCCCCTGATTCTTTGGATGTAGGGGTTCATGGTTATCCAGACCTTAATCCCTAAATCTCGAAACCCTGTAATTCTGCGTAGGCAGCGGATGAGGCTGCCCAGGAGGAGGCAGAGGAGCAGATCGGATGCGGATTTGGCGGGGAGATCTGCTGCTGTAGGTCTTCGAAACAGCGAACCAAACCACAGGGCTTAGGTCTCTACCTTCAACCCCAACCCGAAAGCCTAAATCGAACTCGTGCCCTAAGTCCTAAACCCTAAACCTGTAAACCCCTACACCCCAACCCCCAAACCCTCAGCCCGAAGTATGGTTGCCAGGTTGTAGTTTTCGTTGCTGCAAATGCGGGGACTCCTCAGCCTTAGCTGGGATCTCAGAATTATATCATATGGCAAAATTATTTTAGGCTATAAGACATCTCATTATGATATCATAATGCTTATGATGATCTCATAGAAAAAAAGGGCATGAGCTGCCCTGGAAGCCCCAAGCGCCGAATCAACCACAGAACGCATCAGCTCAGCCATGTACGATAAACCCCCAGATGACAGCGCTTCGAGAACCAAAGACCAGGCAATGAAGAAAGTAGATCCCTCACTGGGGATTCCTCTACCTTTAGTAGTATATAAACCCTAAACCCTAAACCCTAAACCCTAAACCCTAAACCCTAAACCCTAAACCCTAAAGTGCGAAGTTCGGGCTTCTGCTTTCTAGATCCTCTTGAGAAACCAAACCCAACACGGGACCTCCGAAGAGGAGCGGGAGCTGCGTGCGAAGCTTGAGGAGGAGGCGCGGGGGATGCTCTCTATGACTTGCCATGGCAAGTGGCCGTAGGGGTTTGCGAAATCTTTAGGGTTTAGGGTTTAGGGTTTAGGGCTTAGGGTTTATTTCGTGATACTGCTTCTTATCAGGGCTTCGAATATGCTTATAGTATAGGTCTCGGAGCCCCCAAAACCTAGAGTCTACAGTCATTTAGGCTTTTACGTGCTACGGCTTTCATAAGACTTGTAGATGTGCGCTCGAAGTCTGCGGTCTCAGTGGCAGGTTGAGGATTCCACTTTTCAAGCTGCCTCTGTGGGGGTGGCTTCGTTTTGAGGGTTCGGGTTTTTTGTAGTCGAAAAACTCCCAAAAGCTTGCAGGGCTTAGGGTTGAACTGTGGGCAGAGGCAAACCTTCTCTCTAACAGCCCTAAACCCTCAACACATCCCTTAACCCAAAACCCAAAACCGTAGGCCTTAATCCACAAGCCTCGTCTTATTGTGGGCCAGAGAGTCTGAAGAGGGATTGAAAGCGGTTGGGATCCTCAGCGCCGATGTGCCGGGCACCTGTGCCTGTTTTTACCAGAGTTTACGTAGATTCCCAGGAGTAGCAGTCAACCAATGCAGTAACTGCCATCGATGTGAGATGTGGGCATCTGACCCCCGACCCTTATCGCAAAACCTGAAAAGCCACTAGACCCTAAACCCCAAACCTGTAAAGCCACATTCCCCAGAGCACAGGCAGTGGAGTCCAAAGCCACTGCAACGCCGCAGCTCCAAGTGGGATTGGTAAACCATGAAATCTTGAGGGATCATTATGACAGGGGCCTCTCGTGGCTATGTCGTTAGCCTTTTTTGTGTCTGGTTCACTCTACATGGATATGCACACATACGTATGTATATATATATATATATCTGTATATATATGCTACCCCCCCCCTCATGTGCCTACCTTTGGTGTGTGTTTGTGGTGCTTGTTTGTTGATTTTGTATACTCATGCATGTAGTATGCTTAAGAACTAACAGTTGCTAACAATGTCCCGTGAACACCCTCCAACACCAGATCACTACGAT